CAGCCCCAGAGCTGGGGTGTGGAGCTGGGAGAGAGGGGCTGAACAAGGAGGCAGTTGCTCATACACACAAATGCTTTACAAGAGAGGAGTGCTTTGCTGAATCTGAATAAAATTATTCATGTATATAAGTATATGCATGTGACCTAAGCACTTAAAACTGGATATGCCAATGTTAAAGTTGGAAATGCAGATGAAACTCCCTCACTAGTTTGGATGAATTGTAAAACCACTGTATTGCACGATCTTACGCACTCTTTTCTGTATAGCACAATATATTATCACATAGCCTGGTATCTAACCTTGATAGTTAATAGTCAAATCTTGGGAGATGTTGAGCTCTCTGAACTCCACAGAAATTAGGGCTCCTTAGCATTTTGGGAATGCTCACAGCTTTCATAAAGATCAGGCCTTACTTTTCTGGGTTTTAATTTAATTATTAATTAAATAATTAATTTATCTTAAAGTTAAACTAAAGAAAGGGAGGTTATTAGTATGTCTTGATCAAGGATTATTGACACCTGCAAAGGATTACTAGAAGCCCCCTTTTTCTTCCTTCTGTTCATATCAGCAGCATATAGAATCACAGGGTGTCTTTATACATGCTCTGGGATTTGGGTGGGGTGGGGTGGGGTGGGGGGCATTTTAATTAGAGTGGCTCTGAGAGCTGTTCTAATTAAAGTGCCTGCAGCATCCTGGGTATTCAGTATCCTGTGCTTCACAATGGTGGCAGGGGCACTTTAACTGAAGCTTGTTTGACAAACTTTAGTTAAAGCGCCCCTGCCCCCAATTTGAAGTGCAGGGATGCTGAATACATGAGATGTGGAGGCTGCTGGAGCGCGCTAATTAGCACACTCCAGCAGACTTGATTAATCAAACCTGCTCCGATGCACTGCAATTACAGTATGTCAGAGCAGTGTCCCCACACATCTACTGGCTCCCATAAACCCAAACTTAATAGAAACATTGTTATCACCATTCAATTAATTCCTTATCTTCTGGAGTTTCTCACTGCACTGCATTTAATAGTTGCCCATAAAATTGTTTTTCCTTTTGTTTTTTGCAAAGTAATTTGGGGTTGAAACTGCCTAACAGGAAGATTATGTTGTACTCTTGTTAGTTTTATTTGAATGCCATTTGGAAATATTTCACTCCATCCCTAAAGGGGTTTGGCATTTGTTGTCAGGAAATATTGAAAAGTGCCTTGTTTAAAACATTCTCGGTCATTTAAGTTGTCACTGTTTTTGGCAAGCCTGACACTAACAGGTTGAGAGATATCAGAAAGATCATTAAGTATGAAATCCCAGTGGCCGGATGGAGCAGTCACATTTTAGGTGGAAAAAAATGTAGGAGCCTAGACTTGCAAGGTAGTAGGGTGGGAGCTTCAGAGGACAAAAAACTGTCATATTTTTGCTCACCATGAAGTGCAACAGAGGAGGAAAGCAGGCTAGAATATCTTGAGGGAAAGAAGGAATAAATGGTAAAGGTATTTTTTTGCTCATGAAAGAAGAATGTAGGAATTGTGTTAGAACAAAACAACAACCAGTTTAATTTGGCAACTTGTCTCAGCAGATGATGCCAGATGCTTCAGTGGAAAGCATGATGTATCTAACTAGGAATGAACTATTATCTGACCTAATATTTATTGTTTTCATTGTATTAATAGTGTACGTAGCATTGTACAGACAAATGAAATGACCAGATTACTATCCTGTACAGCCTCCAATCTTGATAAGCAACCTGAGATACAACCACAGAGAAGTGTTTTTAAGAGGGTGAGTAGGAAACATTTTTGATTCATATATTCCAGCAGCCATTTTCCCCTTCATGTTTTACAGTTATATTGTTTTATAGCATTGGTACTCACTGAAATTATAATTACACCACAATATTTTTGTATGGTGTAAGTGGAAAAGCATCTTGTTAGAATCTGAAGAGTGCAGTTCTGAGCGCATAGGCATTTCAGACAAGAAGAAAGCCAGGAGAAGACACTAAGTTGGTTTTATAATTACAGAAGTGGAAAACTGTACTTGAGAGTGAATATTATCAAGGGACCATTCTTATTATCACTTTCTCATCTGTCATTGTGCTTTCTGTTCCTTTAGGTCCTCCAGTTCAAATTAACACTGCATCTGCCCCTCTTCCCTCATTAACCACTTTCTCCTCAATTGATGTAGCCCAGGTAACTTGGGTATATACTCCCCTTCTCCAGTTGAAGGGGATTGTTAGATGGCTGGTGTGCTGTAGGGTGGGAACTGCAGACCGCTCAGTTTCCGTCTGTCCCTATAGAACCAGGCCAGGCCAGTCAGGGGACTAACTATGTACACATGTATTTACATTAACTTATCACAAGGGAAAGGAACATGGATAAAAACATACGTACAGTGTTGCTGCTGCTTCTCGTTTGAGTCATACTCGTACAATAGTGATTCTCAACCTTTTTTGGACTTAAAGCACCCTTCATTGGACTTGAGGCACCCCTCCATAACTTTGTGAATTCTCATCCAATTTTAAAAATAAATTTGCAGATTACAGTGCTTACCTCCTTTCAGAGGGGTCTGGCAGTGGGAATGGTGGATGGTCCAGGCATGGCCAAGCCTGAGCCTGCTTTTATCCGCTTTGCTTGTCTGCTTATCTTCAAACACAACACACTTATCTCCTCACACCTAACAGCACCCTTCAAAAGATCTGGTGGCACCCTGATTGAGAATCACTGCAACCTCACTAGCTCTTCTTCACCGTGATGATTCCTATCCAAAATCTCCACATTCCCTTTGGCAACTCTTGCTAGTTTCTCGAGAGAGGCAGGTAAGGAAATCTGCAAGGATGCTTTCCTTTCTCCCTCTTCCTCTACATGCTCTCCCTTTTCACCTGTAGCATCTTCCTTAGGATATTTTTCCAAATTTATTATCTTAATGCTTTGAACTATTCTTTCAAATTGTTCCTTCATTTCTTCTTCTTTCCCTCTGTCATCCAGTCTGCTCCTGCACCTTTCCTTGCTCCATTATGTCTAACTCATTTTCCTCAAAGTATTTATTCTAACACTTGGTTTTCAGTTGATGAGATAAGGTAACAAAAAAGTGGGTAGTAACCTAACGAGGGCTTACTGTCCATTCTGTGAGGATGGGGCAGCAGGACAGCCAGTGACAAAGACAATGTACTGAGCTAGCAAAAGGACAATTAAAAAGCAATGAGAATTTTGGTTCCTTGGGGTCTAGCAGGACTGACATCTAGATAGGTATGTATATGGTGGCCAGAAAATCCTAGTATTACCACAGCCAAAGGAGTTTCTTCAGATCAGGAAACAGAGCTGTGTTTTGTGGATACTGAGTTCTAGCCCAAATGGTCTGTGCATAGCTGAGAACTGTATATATTTGCTGTTCTATTTGTTTCAAGAGCAGAGTTCTACCAAAGAACTCTGGATAGGAGAAGGCGTCAACTGATAATGGATACTTGAATATCCCAACAATCATTGTGCTGTGTAAATAGAAAAAAAGTGTAGGAGCAGTAACACTAAAAAAGAATATGCATCAGGCACAAGGATCTCCCCAGTTTGGGCCTTCTATTCCCAAATTCTAAACAGAGAACATTTTTAGCTGCCCCAATGCATCCTAGCACCTCAAAAACCATGCATTTGAAAATCTACTTGATTATTGTACTATCTACAAGGCAATATAGAACAAACTGTAGCTGTTTCCAGCATGGCAAAAACCTAGATGTAGCAAAAGGTGTCTGCTGATACGTCGACAGCTTTTGGCAGCAATTCCCAACAGAAACCTAAATAGAAAACAAGCGTTGCTGTTCCTGCTTTGCTAGAAAAAATCTGGATCCCAATGCTTCCTAGAAATGCTTTTGCAAACCACAATGCTTGTGCAAACTTTCACAATGCCACAAAACACAGGATGCGTTGTTTTTGGAAGGGGTACACATCAGAGCTTGGGGTTTTTTTTTTGGCTAAGTATGGATGCCAGGTGAGCATCACCTGCATTGGCAGCAGAGCTTGGGCTGGGAGGCAAATGGGGTAGAGACAGGTGCCTGCTTCTCTGGAGGATGTATGCTTTAGGAGCTGGGTTCCTGGAGCAGAATGGGACCAACCACCCTTTTCCATGTTCCCTGGCAACATATTGGGGGTAGGGTGGTCATCATGGAGGACAGCCCGGTTGTCCTCTGCCCTCTATTGATATGAAACCTGATGCCTGTATGCCGTCTGTTTTTCTTCTTGAAGAGAAAAATAGAGGACATAAAGGTGTCGGGTTTTGTATCAAGAGAGGACAGAGTAGCAGAAAACTGGAATGTCCTCTATGATGGCCACCCTAATTGGGGGTTAGAATAAAACAAACAGCTGGTCTTAACAGGTGGGGCAGTGGTGACGTGTAGGGGGGGCTCGTGCACCCCGAGAGCGCTGGTGCACCCCCTGTCAGCAGGCCACGCTCCCTGCTTAGGCCTGCTTAGGTGGGGGTGGACAGGCAGGAATGCCAGATGAAGCGCCACAGCCGCCTCCTGCTCGGTGTGATCTGTCCCCCCTCCGCCCCCCAGTTGCTGAGTGGTTGCTAGGGGGGGCACATGCCCCCCCTGACTAAGGTGGCCCCTGTCACCTACAATGTGGGGGATAACAATTCCCCTTCTTCCAGCTGTTGTGCCGGGTAGGAGGCACCAGGACTGTGGTGAGAAATGATGAGCAGAGCCGTTCAATGAGGACAGATGAGGGTTGCAATGAAACAGGCGCAGGTGTCGGAGAGAGGCACCCTGCGCTCCGTGTCCCCAATCTGGCATGGCAGTAGGGATGTCTAGCAGGGGCTGACTAGGCCCTGCGCTCTTTGTAGCTGCCCTCGGGGTCCCTCCTGGGCCCCGCTCCGGGGAGGCACCCAGGGCGCTGGGTGGATCCGGCTCCCGGGGGAGGGGTGGAGGAGAGGCGGAACGGAAGTGCGGGGAGCGCGGGGCCGCCCGGACGCTCGGGGAAACGGATCGGCGGCGCACGCCCGCCCGCCTTGCGGAAGCGGAAGCGGCCTCCTCCCCGTGCGGGCCCGGCCGAGCCTTCTCCCGGCCCGGGCGGCCGCGCCATGCTGCCCTTCACGGTCAACATCAAGCTGTCGGCCCGGATCCTCACCGGCGCCCTGAGCGCGCAGAACAGGGGGGCGGCGGACTGGTGAGGGCGGCCGGGGCCGGGGGAGGGTCCTTCGCTCCAGGTTTCCCCGGGAGTCTCCAGCAATTAGATATTCCTCAGACAAACCATAAGGCCTTCATGAAAATCAATATGAAGCATTACCCCCGACGTATGCGGCGCTCCCGGGGGTGTTTAAAATGTTATCGTCCTCGACATAAAGTCTGCGGCAGAGATGGTATTTTTTTTGAATGGGAAAATGTTCCAGTGCCCCAAATAGAGAGCGGTCTGATTTCGCGTGTTTATTTGACTTATATAGTTTTGTTCCCTACATACATTTATATAAAGAGTCCCCCCCCATATGTTAATATTATGTCCCAATCGCCACAAGTATTTGCACTGAAATATTTGATTTGGAAAAAAAAAACAAAGGCATGCTTTGTGTGGTTTAAATGTTATAGTCAAAAGCTTTATGTACAAAGAAATTATTTTTATTGGGATACTTGTAAAAACGGAAAGGCAACGCACAGTAGCACAAAACGCACTGTTCTATCCGACCCGCGGGGCCCCTAAAAATTTTAGAAAATGAATATTTATCTGCCCCTGGCTGCCTGTCATGCGGCACTCGATGGCTCGCCAAAACTAAGTAAGTGGTCCTCTGCCTGAAATAATTGCCCTTCCCAGCAATAGCATGTGTTCCCTGTAGATTGTTTAAATTTAACAAAACAAAAAGCGAAGGCACTGAAAACTGTTGACACACTCATTTTAGCGCTCCCAAGAATTGTGTGTGATATGCCGTGCTTCAGGTTTTAATTTGACCCACGCAGTCAATTAGGCGAATTCGGATTATGATGTGTGAGGGTTGGATTCGTTTGGTTTGGATTATGATGTGAGGGTACTTACCCTCCTGTTTATGAATCAATAAAACATGTATGTACTGTCTCACATGCTTCCCAGGGATAACCACCTGAAATGCGGTCATTACAACTTTGAAACTGCCGAGCTTGCCTAATATTGTATTGGCACCCACTCGTTGTTACTAATGAATTTTATGAAACAATTAGTTTTTAGAAATGGAAAATTTCCCAAGGAAAAATAAAGCACTGGAAAATTTTTCATTTTGGAAAATGTTCCTTGGAAAGTTTTCCGTCCCACATCTCTGTTCGGCGCACTCATGTGATGAAACCTCCCAGGATAGATGGAAACAGAGTTGGTGACCCTGGTTCCTCTTGTTGTCCCAAGAGCTGTCAGCGACCCTTGCACCCAAGGGAGATGGGGAGTGATTTCCAGGTGGGCCCCATCCCAGTGCTCCTTGGTGTGTCAGAGGCCGTCCCTCCTTGTGTCACATCTGTAGACAGAGGTTCAGTGGGAGGTGTCCGCTGGCTTCTTGGACTCATTCAGTGCTGTGCTCATTGCCTCCCCCCTTGCCAGCTTTTGAACCCTGTTCTCACTTTAGTTGTCCCAAGTATCCAGTTGTTACACCTTAATAGCTCCTTCTAACAACAGAGGAGGGCAACCAGTTTGTTGTGGCCCTGGCCCCACAGCCCTCCATGTGTAACAAATAAATCTGTGTTGTTTTGTTTGTTTGTTTGGTTTTGATAACTTCTAGGACAGCAGAGCGCAACCTTTTTTAAGGCTCGGGGCACGTGGGGATGGGCTTGAGGTGCCCCTCAGAAAATGCCAGCTCATAGTTTTTGCTCTTTTTTGCAATATGGAGAAACAGTAGAGCAGTTTTTCTTTGCAAAGGACTCAGAGCACAAGTATGGATTTCTGTTTGAAATCTCTGGGGCACATAAGTCTTGTGAGTCATTTTTGGAAATATAGTAGTGCAACATTATGTGGCATCCCATGACACTCTTGAAAAGGATCTTGTGGCATCCTGGTTGCAAATCACTGTCCAAGGTCTAGAATTTTATTTTTCTAAAGCAGACAGACCAGCCTTTCTTGGCAGGTGTGTGTGATAAAGCCTCACACTCTCCCTGAGTGCCACTTTAATCCCCTTTCTCTGCCTCATCTGCTGCTCTGTTTTCTGCTCCCTGTGCAGTCTACTTTCTGCTGATGAGTGCTGAGGGACAGCCTCTCTGCCCCATTCGCTGCTGTGCTGCCTACCCCTTCCCTCTGATCTGCAACACATGTTGCCCCTGTTACTTGTGGCAGGTTGGCCACCCTTATTTTAACCTCTAGCTGAAATTTTTACACTATCACTTGCCCTCAGGACCCAAGACATTTAACAAATCCCAACTCCTATGGAATTTACAATAAAACTGTGAGGGTGGGTAAGAGTGAGTGTAGAGAGTCTGATCAGGTTTACCTCTTGCAAGTGAATTTTTATGTGAAACGTGCGCTTAAGAAATCCAATTGGTATGCTATTACATCTGTCTTTTCTTTTCCTATTCTTATGAAATGGTTGTTTTGCATGCAGTTGGGCCTGGAAGGTAATCAGCTTTGGGTTTCATTGTGCCAGACCTTTTGCAGCGTGATAGACAGTGACAACTGTCACTCCCCAAAATGTGCTGTTGATTTGATGAGGAGGTTAACGGAGTTGTAACAAATACAAAATAGGAATTAAGTTTCAGCTCCCCTTCTACCACATTCCCAAGTAAAGGCTTGGGAAATTGTGCTACACCTACTTTAGTTATAGTTTCATGTTGGTGTGACAACCTACGCAGGGTGTACCTGTTGAGGGAGTACAAACATTAAAATGTATTTGTAGAAGTTGGCATATTAAGTATTTGCTTCTGAGGAGCATGGGCATATGTTGTTTTTCTGTGTAGCTTTTAATTTACACAGTGCCTCTGGAAGTAGACTAGTATGGTCTCTGTTACAGCTGTTGAATGTGAGACAGAAGTAATGGTCTCTCTGCTTTGTTCTGTACCGTGGTTAAATTGCTGAACCAAGTCAGACTGAAGCCAAATCTTCCATTCTGCTATATTCCTCAATCTTAGAGCAGTGAATGTTGAAACACAGAGCAGAAAACCTGCTGGGCATTTTGGAACCTTGCTTTGACCCTTTGACTATGTGAATGAGGACAAAATATACAGGGAGTAGTTGAAAACCCTCTTATTTGTCATCCTTTTCATTTGTGGTCATGTCAGTTAGGAGTGCACTGATAAAGATTTTCTTGGCCGATAACAGTAGCTGATTATTCACCAGGCATATTGGCCAATACCAATCTGATACCCAATTTACAGGAATGCAGCTGGGCAGTGTGGAGAACAGCGCCCTGCAGGTAAGTCTGTGGAGGGGAAGAGGCATGGGGG